ATGAGTTTTTTGGGTTCATTGAGAACATGGTTGTTGTTCAATAATAAAATTATTCCTCAAAAATACAACTTGCCTAATAATTCTGCACTCCCTGTAAGTGTCAAACAAGTTCAATGAGCTCACTTGTACTCACAGGTTTCTACACTGCTTATATTAGGTCTTGAAAGACATTACTCAACATGGTAGAAGTAAAAAAGTTGGCATCACCACCATCAACTTTTCCACTTCTGCATAACAGCCAGAGCTTCCTTCCTTCAGCCCAAGGCCAGGATAGAGAGGCTGAGTGAATACTGTGCACACTTTGTGAAGCAGAGTCATGGTGTCAGAGATGCTGTAAAACGACAGAGTACCTGACCTGTAATCCAGGTACACGCCAATCTGAGAGGTATGAGGACCTGACACCGCCTTGGTCACTGAGTTATGTCTGAAAGTATAACCATCTGCAGAGCACTCCAAACACCAGGACTTGTCATTCTTCCCAAATTCTGAGTCAGATGATGTTCGGCTGATGTCTTTGTAAGATGCTGCCACTGACCAGGCGCCACCACTCCAACTGACCTCCCAATAGCACCGCCCTGTTAAACCCTCTTTGCACAGCACCTGCTTCACAATTCTGAACCTGTCCGAGTGAGATACATAATATTTCTCTTTGGAGTCACTCGTCACTCGTTTAGATTCTTGTGAAATGACAAAGCATTTGTTGACCGAGTTGGGATCCAGTGTTAGAGGACAGTGATCTGATGGACAAGCAAACCAGGAATATCATCAGCCTTCTAGTATTTATTAAGTGATTACTGCTTTATTATACTGATCTGTATTAACTGTTTTACTTACAACGCAATAACTCTCCCCTGGTCTTTGGCACAGGTGGCAGCACAACATCTGTAACAGACACTAACAGGGGAAAAATATATTTATATATAAAATGTAACAGACAACAGAGGAACTGGTACTCAGCTTATTTAATATTTCCTTCAGGCACCTGTGGCAGAGATTTTGGGCCATGTGGTCTCCAGAAGGTTTTGCATGTCATATGTCAGGTCAGACACATAGTCAGACACCGCTTCCATTGAACGTTTAGGACGAACAACAGCGCCTGATGGCAAGTCTGGAGATTCACATGAGATTGAGAGAGACTTGAAGATCTAGAGGAAAAATGACAAGTCAGAACAGAAAAAGCATATTAACTGCATGTTACATGGAACATTCTGTCTCAATTCATTATGTTTATGTGTTTATATTTTTCCGTATACGAGGCAAACAATATTCCCAAGTAGTGCAAATCAGGCAGCTGCTTTCACAGAAATTAAAGCTTGGATGTTTTGTTCCCTAGAAGATTTTTCTAATACTTGTGTCTTGCAGCTATAGATGATGAATGCTTTAACACTGATTGTGTCATACTGAAATGAAATAATAAAGTATGTTAGGTGACAATTATAAAAAGAAAGATGGGTTGGTTGAGAACACACAACTTTTACCTGAATGAAATGAATATGGTCAGCTGTGTGAGAAAGCTGCTCCAGGTCATCATCTCTTCTCCTCAGCTTGGCTATCTCCTCCTTCAGCTGCATCTGCAGATCTTCTGCCTCAGCTATTGCAGTTTTCCTCCGAGCTTCAATCAACTCCTTTATTAAAGCACGTTTGTTTTGGAAGGAGGAGATCAGCTCGTCAAAGAGCTCGTCATTGGACTTCACTGCAGTCTGACAACAAATCTGTTTATATATAATGTATAAAGAAGGTTCAGTTTAAAACATAACATACCTTAACATATCAGAAAGTTTTCTGAATTCACTTTGCTCCTGGCAAAAATATATGAACAAAAAATAAATTCAAACAAACGTAACAACTGTATTAAATACACCAAAATACAGGAATAAGTCGTGCAATTACAGACAGGCTGATGGCTGATGTCAGAACCTGTACAAGAGCACTGCTGTGGTCAGATCAGATACATGTTTTCTAGTCCTATTTCCACACCTCGAAGTCCTTCACAGCCTTGACAACCTCATTCAGCTCATCTTGTCTCTCTTGGGATCTCAGCTTGACTGCATTCTGGTTCTCACTAAGTTTTACCTGTAAGAAGCGACCACGAATGTGTCATTGTGAATATTTCAGTCACAGGAGTAAAATTCAACCACTCTCCAGATTTACACCAACGTTTTGTCTCTACCTGCTCCACAGCTCTTTCTGCTGCAGCTGACACTGTTGAGTGGTCCCTGTGATAGTCCATGGTGCACAAATAGCAGATACATCTTCGATCAGTCTTACAGTAAACCTCCATCAGCTTGTTGTGCTTTGTGCACATTTTTTCCTTAAGTGGCACTGTAGCAGACACCAGCTGGTGAAGCTTCAGCACAGGAAAACTGTGGTGAGGCTCAAGATGAGCAGGACAGTACGATGCCAAGCAGGTCAGGCAAGACATGCTGGCTTTGTTTCTT